ATTCTCTTCCAGGTGATGACTGTGCCCACTGTTCCTTTGCTAGCTGACATCAGCTAGCTGGCCTTGCCAGGTCTGCTCACTTTCTTATTTCCCCAGTGACATCTCTGATAGTGGTAAACTGTTCCAGACCCCCAGAGTTATTTCTTGTGCCAGAAGCCAGCTACAATAGCTATGTTCTGCTTCTCTGTGTCCAATCAGTCATTCCATCTGACTCACCAAAGATGCCATTTCTTGGTATGATGCAGAGTCCCTCACTGTGTTATGCACACTAAGGTACCATATATATGCATGCAAGACTCAGAGCAGTACCTGCACTATTCATTCCTGAAGTAATATTCCTCTACTTGTTAGCTTGTTGTCATCTGTCTATTCCTCCATTCAATACCCATTACTCAGATACCTTTCTTTAGGTCTCAGTTCTCTGTTCTAAGGCATGTCCCATCAGAGCATCAATGCCTGTGCATCTTTGATCAATGTGATCAGACTTGCTGATCATATTTTGATTATAGTCTTTTTATTTTTAGCATGTTCTCTTGTAATAGTATTGGTGCATTTAGAGCCAAGTGCTGGGACCTCACATGCAGCCTAACCCCTCTGGTATTAGTCTGTTACTAGGCCATGCACTCTGCTTATTGTTACTTCAGTTTATCATTACAATAGCTAGGTTTCTGTGCACTCTAGTCCTATTTTCTGTTACATGCTTACTGAACTGGAATGTGGTCCATGTATTCGCAATTTTCGCAATTTTACATGCCTGAACATGGAGAGGGCATGTCACCATTCATACTTTCAAAAGTCAAAACCTTGCATTTACATTTTTGTCCACTACCAACATCCAACACCCTTTTCTGTATACAGTTTGTACAAAATAATTTTTACAAAGAAGTGAAATCTGAACTCTCTCCCTGCTCCTTCAACTCCTCTATGTCCTTGTCCAGCCTCTTCAACATCACCTTTCAAAGATCCTCCACCTCCTGATCTCTCTCATCTTTAAAAATCAGTCAGGTCTTCTTCCAGGCCTCCATCTCAGACTCCAAAAACAACTCTGAAGGAGATGACATATCATTAGAATCATAGTCATCTTGAAGGCCTGCCACAATACTGCAAACATCTGTCATCTTGTCTGCCAACTCATCTACACAATGTATCAACTTGCATATTAATTTTGAAAGTTGGTGGAGACCGATGGAGACCTCCACACTACTAATCACCTTGCTTGTGGTGACACCCTGGTTGAATGAACAGGTGGTCTTCTCAATCTTGCAACATGCACAAGTCTGCCCATACATGGCACCTTTGGTGGCCAGGCATGCATAACAATAGGCACCATCTTGGTGACAGTGCATACAGCTTCCTGAGAACAAAGGCTAAGTCAAACTATGCAAGAAAATCAAGACACTTACTTTCACCATCTAACAACTCTTCACCTTCTGCTGGCCCCACCACTTCCAACTTTGCCCACTTCTTGAGACTAGAAACCACCTCTGCCCCACTGCTATCCACTAGGCTCCTCAACCTGAACTTGCATTTATAGCCTCTCTCCACTAGACCTACCACCTTTCTCTTTTCCTCTCACACCCTCTTTCTTCTCTCCAGGGTTCTCTTGGATTCTTCCAACTCATCGTCCCCCTCAGTCCCCTTATTTTGCTCACCATCAGACTCCAGAGACATATGGCCAGTCATCTTCTTGAAGCAAAGACTAGGGCCAGAACCAAACCATTCTGCCAGCACTTGATGCAGCCAAAAATCAACAGCCTTCATGGAGGTCATCTGCAATCCACTCTCTATAATCATCCCCTCCTGCTCTGTCCCTGAGACTGAAGCCCTTGCCATGGCCTCCACAGCCTCCCTCTCCTCTGCCTCCTTAGCCTGCCTCTTCACAGCCTGCCAGACCTCCTCTCTCTTTCTCTCCAATTCCTCCTTCTGCTCCCTTTTCTGCACCTTCCAGGCCACATGGTCTGTCCAGACCTTTTCCTCCTGCTCTTGCTCCCCTTGCCATTCCAAATGGCTCTCCACAGCCTCCACATATTCTTCCTCCATAGTCTGCCATTCCAGACAAAATAATTTCTTAGCCTCTTTAGGGCTGTTGGGGATGAGTTCCCTCACCAAAGGCTCAGGAGTATGCAAGCAATGATACACAGTAGGAGGTGACATAGTTAGGGTGATAATGGTGGTATCTAACCAAGTTGCAAAAAATTCCCACAGCCACCAACAATCTTCTATGTGGACCCACTGGCCATCAGAATCTATGCTCTTGAGGGCAAGAATGCTAAGGGGGAGATACTGTTACATGCATGCCACTGGCCTCTGTGTCACCCCAACCAACCACAAATGCAATCACAGAAACCCACTGGACTCTGGCCACTCCCCATTACCTATTAATTTCATTTTACCATTATCATTTCACATCTGTATTTCACATTGTAATATCTAGACTCTGAACTTGGTAGTGAATATTGACATCCGAACCCAATAGAACCTGACTCAGAATTAGCTACCATTAGTATATAAAGCCATGTATAACTATTGTAACTACTTAGTTCGAATATCAACTTGGATAAGCCATCTACACTTTGCACTCACTTCAACTCCTTTCTATCTCATCTATCGGATTCCATTCCAAAGGATATTCTAGTTCACTCCTCTGATAGAACTCTGCTCTGTCCACCCAGATCCTTGGGCTCTGACTCAAGGGTGATGTTGCCAATAGCTTTATTGACACCCATGCACTCAAGCCCACTCAATTAGCATGTTCCTAACAGGTACCTATAGTGAATGTGGATCAGGACACTGAGCTAGAGACATCATTGAATGTGCCAACCTCCTCCAATCAAAAAGGAGACTTAGATTTGAAAGAGATAACAGTGAAGGTGGTAGTAGTAGCAGCAGCAGTAGCAGGGCCTAGATCTTTAAGACCTCAAAAGCACAAATGTGAGGATCAGAATATTAGCCCATATTTTAAGCATAGCTATGTCTGATTAAATACTTTCACATCATCTATATCTACATCTCCTACTGCTCAATTTACTGAGTCAGCTGATTCTCTATCTTCTCCTTCTTCACATCTATTCAATGATCCATTCTTGCAGGCTACACTACATGCTTTAAAGGATTTTATTGTAGTCAACACAACATTCAATGTCAATTGCTTAGAGAATATCCTTCATTTTCATCCAAATGAACCCTTTGTCTTCTCAGTCATTCATAGTCTTCAGAATGGATTCTGGCCTCTCAACTTTGGTGAATGAGAAGACTCTCTCCATGACAAGACTGAGAATTATATCACTGATTCTTGAAATATCAATAAAATACAAGCATTTTATGATCATGAGGTCACAGCTAGACATTGGTCACTATCTCTACCAGATGGGTTTACACTCCTGCCAGATATGAAAGTATCACCTATGTTCATGGTCTGGCAGAATAGAAAACCCTGTTATAATGAATCATACTTCCTCTGGTTTAAATGCAGGAAACTCTGCTAGCAAGGCAAAGGTCAAATATGATGATATGCATTCATTTGGTGAGGCTCTTCACAATGCCAAATTACAACATCCCAATGCTGATTTCACTCTGTATAAAGGCAATGTCACTAAGGCCTTTTTGAATTTACCAGTGCATTCTCTATGGCAAATTCATCAAGTGGTCCTTGTTGACAACCAATATCACATTGTTAGGCAGCTCATCTTTGAAAGCCAAGCTTCACTCAGGATTTGGTGCTTGGTCTCAGTCTTATTGTGCTGAGTTGGGATTCATCATCTCAACATCACTGATCTCCATGTTTATATAGATGACTTCTTCAGCTGGGATTTCACCTATCACCAAGTTTTCTATTGAGGTCAGCAGCAACCAGCACAGCAAGTACAACTTTTGATATTTTAAGAATATATCTCCTGTCCCTTTAATGATCCAAAACAGTTGCATGGTCAGACTCTCAAAATTATCAGCTTCTGGGTTGATGCCAATCAGGAAAGTATCTCTCTTACACAGCAATCAGTTATCAATGCTAAATCTGAGATCGACTCATTTCTTTCAACATCTGATAGAGTGCCTATTCTACAGAAATGGCAGCATTTAGGTGGATACCTGAACTGGGTTCTGAATGTTCTACCATGAGGCCATCCTGTCCTTTCCTCTTTATATAGAAAGATGGCTGGAAAGACTCACTCTTTCATAAAGATCTTCATCAATGCTGCAGTTAGAGAGGATTTCTCCTGGTTTTTATCTATTCTGCCAGATTCTGTAGATGCTCATTTTGTCAACTCAGCTCTCTGAGCTGACTCAGAAGCTGACATGATATTTTGGATGGATGCCAGCTTAAAAAATGCATTATCATTTGTTTTTGCAGAAAACAGTTTTGTATATCAGTTCTATCCACCATCATCTAAAAATATGATCAACATCTTCTTTCTCAAACTTGTCACCATTCTTTCAGCCATCTATTATGCAGTATCTCTATCTAAACTCTCTCATCATCTTTTACTTTTCACTGATAGCCTCAATTCTGTCACTGCATTTGATTCCCTATCAGTATTAGAATCTCTTCACAATGAACCCTTACTTGAAGCAGCAGGCCTGATACTCTGTTCAGGAATTGACACTCATATTCAACATATTGATGGAAAAGATAATATTCAGGCTGATATGCTTTCCTGACTTTTTTTGGATGAATATCATCATAAATTCCCTGCTGACCATGTCTGCACTTTCACTCTACTAAGAGACCTACTGCCAGCATGATGGAGACAATCTTTCTAACTGCACTGGGCAACCATGCCTCTTGCATTGCTCACCCAGCTTTCTTCTTTTTTCTTCTCAATGAACATGTTCTGTTTCTCTAAGCTCATGTGATCAAGCTCAGAGCAGCAAAGAGTTATGCAACAGGAGCATATGACTACATACAGTTTTGCATTACTCATGCACTGCCCCTTGAACCAACATCACTTACTCTCAGCAGATACATCACCTATACATCCTAGTTCATCTCATCTGGCCTAAAATACTTGACTGGAGTCTATCACTTTCTAAAAGACCTCTATTCTGACTTTGATGCCAGTCACAAACATCCCATGGTGCAAGCTACTATCCATGGCTCAAGAAAGACAAGAGATGATCCCACATCCCAAAAACTACCCCTTCAATTATTCTATTTGATCACCTTTTGTCTTCTCACTAACATCTCAGATTCTTATGATGACCTCCTATTTGCCACCATTCTTGCTTGCTACTTTTATGGCTGTCACCAGTCAGGTGAGCTTATTTGGAAAAATGACAAACAACTTCAGGACTTTCACAAAATAATCAAACATTCTTCCTTCATTCTCCAAAAGAATAATATACAATATCATCTTCCTTACAACAAATCTGATCTCTTCTACTATGGCACTGACATCCTACTCATATGACAGGAGCTCACCAACCCAGTCACACTCCTATCACAATATATAAAACATCAAGATCTTCTTTATGGCTCACATGCTCCACTCTTCCTTTATGAAAATAGTGATATTCCATCATGAAATTAGTTTGACAAGAAGTTTTTTGCAATTCTAGGCAGAGACTTTGATGGCCACTCTGCTAGGGCTGGAGGAGCTACATTTTATGTATCACTCAGACTTTCAGAGTCCATTATACAAGCTCTTGGTTGGTGGTCTTCTAAAACATGAACCACCTACATTTGGGAACACCCTGCCCTGCAAGCACAACTGTAATTGGCATATTTATGCATTCATTATTCCCTTCCCTAATCTGCAACCCATTCAACCTTCTTGAACCACCACCACCCCCATCTCTCACCAACCAAAAGCACATAATAGCCATTCACACATTGTAATTGATTTGAGGGCAGTCTCTGAGGCCTTCATTATAGCCAGTTACATCCCACTCCTTGAGCGAGCAGCAGAGGCTGAGGATTTATGCAAAATAACAATCCCTCAGAGCCAGATTTGGCATTTACTTCCATATGCAGGAGTAGATAGGCTTTTTTATAAAAATGTAACGTATTTGTCACGTGATGTCCTTCGTTCCGCTTGAGGCACGCCTTACGACATCGGCGTCAAACGGTCGTCTTTTCTGGTTACCTAGGATGCATGGTTCCCTCCAGCTCGTTCTCCAGCTTTGATGTTTAGGCCATCTACCAATTTTTTTTTTTTCTTCAACTCGTCAATTCGACTAACTCCCGAGGTGGGCAAATTACATGTTTCCATGGGTACTGCGACCTCTAGTGACCTCGCCGTGAGTGCAGTGCATTCCTCACTATGCAGCAATGTTCCATTAATCACGTACAGGTCGTTTACCATCCTTGCGGTGAACTGTGGGGCTCCGTTTTGGTCTACAAAAGTTGCTTGGTTTCCTCCGAAGGTGATAAACCACCCTTCTTTATCCAGCCTACTGATTGAGATTAAGTTTGCCGAGATGTCAGGGCAATGGAGAGCTTTGCTAAGGATGAATACGTTTTGTGAACCTGCAGTAGATGACTTCAGGGCTACAGTGCCGATCCCTTCAATATTCAGTGATGCTCCGGCCTTCGAGGAAGTTCCTGACGTTTTGCCTAAGGGCCTGTAGTGGAAGAAGGAATCTCTGCTTCGGATAAAGTGGGTGGATGCTCCAGAGTCCCCATACAGCAGTGAGTTGTCTAATGCTTGACTAGTATTATTGACCACTAGTGCTGTTTCCTCTCTCCAGACTTTCTCGATGGTCTTAAGGGTTTTCTCGTCGATGCGCGTGTTCAGTGCAGTGACGTTTGTGTAGACGGAACCTGGATCGGATGATGACGTGTTGGAGGTGGCTAGGTTTCCGGAGCTAGGCACAGGTGCGTCCCGTTTCCCTTTCCACCAAGGCGGGTATTGACCCTGTCTTCCTCCCCCTAATTTCCAACACTCGTCGAGAGCATGGCCTATTCCCTTACAAGCGTCATTCGGGCTGTGAGACTTGTCCGACCCCGGGGCCGTATTCTTCCTTGAAGAAAGGCTTTGAACTTGAAGGGTTAGAGCCTGGATAGACGCTTGGAGTTCCTGAATTGTAGACTCTTGAGCGGATGAGGAGTTATTGGCAGTGTTCTGTCTGACTACGTGTTCGCCGTGGGCAATGAGACGTCCGATAACGATAGTGAGGCTGCTTCAAGCATATAGAGTGCTGACGACCGAGTCCCAGGACTCAGGGAATGAGTCGAGTAGCGTGGTTTTGAAACTCTTGTCGTCTATAGCTGCGCCGGCGTCGTTTGCTTCCTTCCTGAGCTTGCACATCCTCTCTACATATCCTCCATCCCCGCTAACCTTTTCTCCGTCCTGGTATTTCATAGTTTTCAGTGCTCTCTCCCTACGGCTACGAATCAAGTCTGAATAGGCACTGTACTGGGTCTTGAGAATAGTCCAAGCCTCGTGAGATGGCTTCTTGGGGTTTATTCCAACACCAAATATGTCTTTGACGTTGCGAACGATTGAGGCAAGTGCTACGCTCTCGTGTTGTGCGTATTCGAGCAGGTTGGGAGTCAGGCTATTGATGGGGGTGGATGGTAGTGGCGCTATAGTCTGACCGGGGATTGAGACCTTGTTTTCCCAATAGTTGACGAGTCCGCGGGTATTTCCTTCGGTCAGCATTATCATTTTGAATGCTGCCCAGTTCTCGTCGTTGAACTTCTCGTCATCATCTAGTTTGATGGGTATGGTTTGTTGTGATGTAGTTGTCATGATAGGGGGAATACGACGTTTCGTTTGTACAATCTATGCAGTTTCTTGATTTGACCGTTAAGAACGTGTGTTATTAACCCAGAGGGATGAGCACGGGGTCCAGAACCTGTTAGGAATAATACAGCTCAGTTAGTCACACGTTATGGTGGTGATCAATTGATGTGCAGAGAGGGGTGGAACGATAGGTATATGCGACAAAAAGGGGTTGGTGATATATATATGGTAAGAAGGTCCAGTAAAGAAATAGAAAAGCAGTATTGGGAAACGGGATAGGCTGAACCCTCGACATCTCAGGCTCTTGAAGAGCGCCTTGCGAATCCACGTCGGCCTCGATGTACACGTAAGGGCTTGGATCTGTGGATTCTCCAGTTCCTTCACGGACCTTCATGGCAGGCAATAGCGTTGTAGTGAGTTCCGTGTATTCCCCCTCAGTTTCGTAGACCAATTCGTGAAGCTGATATCCACGTGTTGCAAACCACGTTGCCCACGAGCGCCACCACTGTAGACGAGGCTCGTATTCCTCCAGGTCGCGAGGATCCACATTCTCCTTGCAGGAAGCACAGAAAGTTAGTTGAGCACGTTGCTACGCATGGTATACTCTTACTGAGGGCATGTCACGGTGGTAGACGCAGTGGTGAAAGTTGGTTTACGGCAAATTCCGTCAACTCAATAATTGTTCCGCGGGACAGCCGACACTATCTTCTCGCCTGCCAGCCTCTCTGCAGTCGCTGTGAGGAATTTTTATATATAAGTAGTTTTGGATTTCCCTAGTGGAAAAAAATTCTGTATACGTCTCCGCTACTTTCGGAAATGGTCTGCTTATCGAGAACCGCCTGTCCCTCGCACGACTATATGGCTTCGCAGGATCTGTTACCAGAAAGTCGGTTATCATCGGCTAGTAGTTAATGCTCGCTGGATACTAGGCTTTGGTTCGGCGCCTTTCCTCCTTATGCTTAGTGCGGGTACCGGTGACACTTTGAGAATATGGATACTGTTCTCATATATGTTGGAATGACATTGTGTATCCACTCTGATTTTACAGCAATGATCAGAACAGTGCTCTATCCAAGAACTTCCAGCGATGTATCATACTACGATGGGCCGAGTCTTTGTTCCCTTGGGACGATAAATTAGCTCCTTAGATGGCAGAATCGTCGTCCTCAGAATCTCACTACCCTGGAGCTCCTCACGCCTTCGATTTGACCCCATCCAAGGTGCTCCTTGATTCTTAGCCGCGTTCGGGGGTTGTGGAACCCAGTCCGGCGACCCTTCAACAAGCTCACGTTGGAAATCAACTTCATACCCCGCGCACTTCATTTTCCATACTGCCAATACCTAAATGCCTTGGAGGATCGATTTCTGCCGGATGGCGTAGATGAACGATAGCTCTGCAACGAGTACCATATCCTTACTTGGGCATCTTGTGAGCCCAAGCTGAGACAACCTTAGGAGCAGGTCAGTAACTCTACCAATGTGACCATTAGTATATGAGATCGCTCACAACACGTTTCTGCCCCCTTCCATTCTTCCACTGACAGAGGCGCAGCTCTTTCCATCTTAAACTGTCCCATATATTGCCACTTCCCGCTGTTAATCCGCGAGAAAACTCTTTGAGTTTCTGGCCACTCGATATTGCCCGATTTACTGGATGAGAAGAATAGCCCTGGGTTCCCCGGGCATTTGTGGAGCGTGATGATTCATGTTCAAGTTGAGAAACATGAAGTCGTTCATGTGGTGTATAGTGAGAAATTTTTGAGCGATATTCGGAAAGGTTTCTTGGGTGTTTCCGCCCCGAAATTGCGGCATGAAGCGACGATCTGCGGCGTCCTCGGATATAGGGATCAAGATGCACAATCACAGTTAGGGATGCCTCTGATACGACATCGAACAGTGTCTAGGGATAGTTCTAGGTTTTTGATTGTCTTTACCTTGGGCTAGAGAATCGTTACTATGAAGTTCTGTTGAGATGTGTGACAAACCTGCACCCTACCTTTCTTTCGCTTGAGAACGCATTTTACCAAACAGTACTCATTGCGAACCCTCATCCATTCTTGTCAGTGAAGTTCGATTTCCTCGGAATCGCAGATTGAGTGTGCGAAATGTCGTCCAGTACGAAAGCCTGGCCTGTCAAACACACACACATGCCTCCGAGACCACGCCATCGTTCTGTTGTGGTCTGAATTGCCTTTTTGGTTTCCATAATCTAAATTCTGGTTATCGTCTTCACTGGCACTGGGGACTACCCGACGCCTCTATTAATGGGGCAGTTCAGAGCGGTACATCAGGGAACTATTGGCGTGAATGAAAATGCTGAGGTAGACAAGATATGCGACCGTTAGAACGAAGAAATACCTGCAAAGGCCTCTTGTCAGAGTTTGTTGACGAGAGAGGATTTCATGAAGGTAATACGGTCTTTTGAGCAATTTCTGAGTACCAGAAATCCGAAACAATGGCTTCAATGAGCTCAAAAGGGAGCTCAGACCCCGGACTGGTCATTGTGGCGACGCGCGTATGGAAAGAAACGATCTGCACAGCCATGTGATAGGGAAGAATTTGAAATTTCTGTCATTGTAGAATTTGTACTGAGTTTATAAGTTCCGCAAAGCATATTAGGTATCGTCGTATCATGTGCAAGAGCTGGAGACACATCCAGAGATGATATTGTGCAGCGAGTTCGTACATTGTGGCCAGGAGACACCTCATTGAAACTGATCGATGATACTTGTGAGATGATTTCGAACTATGTCCAGTGGCAACTCTGCGTCCTTAGATTTCTTTACTTCGGGCTGGATAAATGGATCATGAAGAAGTTGATTATACTGAGGTCGAATTACATTATATAACAAGTACTTGCATTAATTCGTCATTGTGTTTGGCCTTTCCAATGTTATGTGGAAGATTATCGAGAACAGCACGCAACCCGGGAACACACAAGTCGGAGGGGGAAATCTAGGGAATACTTCATTTTCTTTTGATACCGACCGTCAATCATCCACATCCAGAGCGGGATTATTGTGCCAGCGTATAGGTTCTGTGGGACGGATTGAAAGCCCAAGTCCCTAGACTTTGCCAAAAGGGCAGATATCCTCGAGATTTCAGCTGGCGACAGCTCTGTTCTTTTCCTTTAGACTGCCCCTTGCCAATTTCATACTCTGAGTCCTAAGAGAATGAGAATCCATGAAGAGACGACTGGTAGAAAATCAGAGTTGTGGAGAGCTTTGGATACTCGTAGGTCGAGAAGAACTTTATAATTAAGAACATGATATCTGATTGGATACCGGATATCGGACCGTTTACCACGTGATCCCTGCGAGCACGTGAGAACGACCGCGGCCGATTCGCCGTTTCTTCCTTCTTTCATTTCTACCACATTCTTCCATCAGGGCCTGCCTTTTCGTGTTTACGCGGGGAAACTGAAAGAATATCGACAAGTACTCCTGTAAGCTACTCAAGATATCATGCCTGGAGCCAATCGTTTTGTCCTGAGATTCATTAAGGATCCCATTCACGACCTCAGTACGACCTCATTCTGTCCTATAGCTCCCTGTTATCTGATAGAGCCCTTAGTTGAAGTCAGTCCTCGACTTTCCGTCTTTTTAGATACGTGCGTAGCTGGTATAATGACTCGTGTCAATTCTAATTGCAAGATAGACGCCAATTCCAACGTCTACGCAACATCAAACAACTGGGAACTTCGTACTACGTCTGGCCTGGAGCTTCACATAATAGATTTGAGCATTGCTTAGGTGCGCCATCCGAATTCTGGGCTCTCTGTCTTTGACACGACAATGAAAGGTGTTGCGCACCTCGCCAAGACTCTGGCTACGAACTTACAAACGAAACAACCAGACTTCGGGATCAGTGATAGGGACATCGAGTGCGTCGAACTTGCCGGCTTATGTCATGACCTTGGACACGGACCATGGAGCCACGTTTGGGATGCATCGTTTATGCCAATGGCACTGTACGTTCATTCTTCTGTGTAAACTGACCGGTAGTGATTTTTTACTAGACCAAAATTGAAAACACCGTGGAAGCATGAGCAAGGCTCTGAGATGATGTTCGACTATCTTGTAACGACCAACAATATCGAAATCGAGGAGGCAGACACCAAATTCGTGAAAGCTCTAATCGCCGGGGACCCGGCGAAATGTGACCCGCATGTTGATCGCTCTCCATTTACGCGTCCTCTTAGTCCTTGCATAGGTCCGAAAAGGGGTTTCTCTTTGATATCGTAGCCAACAAGAGAAATGGCTTGGATGTGGACAAGTAGGTGCCCATTGTCCCTGCTTTCCGTCTATTTGATGACACTTAACGACAGGTTTGATTACTTTGTTCGCGACTCCCATATGATTGGCGAACCCATCAAGATCAATCTTACACGGTATGCAGAAGAAACGTTCGCTCTGCCAATATTCCTGATAGCGTTTCAGCCTACTCAAGTCAGCCCGAGTGATAGATGGCGAGATCTGTTATGACATCAAGGACGCCAACAATATCTATGAGGTGTACAATACTAGATTCCGCTTGTACAAACAGATCTATAACCACAAGACGGGTAAGAATTTCTTCAGACCTTCTGAGAGCTAATAACTGACAATTTCATTGCAGCCGCGGCCATTGAGTACATGATTGTTGACGCTCTCCTCCTGGCTGAGCCGTATCTGCAAATAGCCACCCGGGTGTTTGATCCCGCAAAATTCACATACTTGACCGACGATATCATGACGCAAATTGAATACGAAGCGTTAAGCAATCCAGTGAGTATCCATCTTTTGAAGTAAGCACAACATCTCACTCATGTACAAGGATCTGGCTCCTGCTGCTGCAATTTTTGACCGTATCCGGACCCGCGAATTGTACAAGAGCGTCGATTATAAAACGGTTGATTGGGCTGACCACAAGTTCTTCGAGGGGGAGATAACGCCAGCCAAGATTGTTAGGGAAGCACACAATGATATGACCGAGCCTTCTGGGCTTACACCTGATGATGTCATTGTATCCTTTTCACCCATGCACTACGGTTTGCTTGATGAAAATCCCTTGCGCCACGTCAAGTTCTATTCCAAGGCTCGGCCTGATGGTGCGCTTCCTCCTCCCTGCCCTGGTTTGATCTGAGTGTTCCATCACCTAGTGTGTGCTATCGCTCAACCGGGTGACTATTCGAGCCTCGTACCATCGGTCTTTGGAGAGGTACTTCTTCGTGTATACACAAAAAAAGCCGAGCAAGTCGTCAACTCTCCTTGCAAAAGGACGTTTTTGCTCAATATTTTCTAGGTACTACTCCGATGTGCAGGCTGGATACCGGGCTCTCCTTTCCAAGATTGCCGGCAGACCATCTGTCACTGTACGCACGCCACCTGCCACTGAGACATCTTCTACCCCCGGACCGTCTCGCAACAATGGCGTGGCTGCACTTGATCGTTCGCCTGGTGGGAGCAGATACGGCGAGAACCAGTTTACCACTGTGGAGCGAGGTTATATTCCGGCTAGTCCTGCCAAGCAGCTGAAACGCGAGGTTGGGAACTCGGAGGCGGAAGGATCTTCGAAGAAGAAAAGGCCATGAGCGTGGTGTCGTGGTTGGGATGATTAACTTTTCGGATAGATTTCTTGTTCCCGTAGATATCAGTAGACTTTACTCGTATCCCGCCTGTCATTTACACGGACTCGATGTCTTTTTACTTGTAAATAGCTTTTTCGTGTAGTATATGAACCTATTCCGCTTGTAATAAGTCCATAATAGGTTCGCCGTCAATGGCTAAGCTCCCATTATGCCCGCCGACCCCGCCGCCGTGCTACGCGAGCTCCACATGGATATTTCGGTCATCTTCTATCCCTTCCACGGTCCTTACAGACTCACCATGTCACTGCCTTTTCATTTCCCTCGCCTCAAACTCTTCCTTCACCCACTTATCTGCGAGCTTCCATGCCCCCCGATGCCCGTATTGACCACGTATCGGCTCCTAAACGGTTGCTCAAAGGCTGCCTTTGGGTGAGAGAGGCGAAGATATGGGAGACGGTGTAGTCATTAGGCCAGTGCTTGAGTGGGGGATGGAGGTGGGTGGGGTAAAGGAATGGCTATAGGGGACTGGCATCTGATATACGAATGTAGATTGGAGGTATCCTGCAGCTAGCATGATAGGAGAAGCTGGAATTATTTGAGCGCAATGTGAGTTTGAGATGAACTGCTGCGAGACTGGCACGGCGGTACAGGGACCTGGAGCAGGATGTTTCTTAAGGAGAGCGAATACGAGCCCAGCTGTGCTAGTGGAAGGGTAGCTCAGATCCAGAGAACCACGGCTATATAATGACCTCCTGGTTGAGATTGACGAATGAAGCTCCCTTAATAGACTGTTACGAATACGGGACAGTAATCTCTGATGGGTGTGGACGACTCGGACACTGCTGTTCCCATTTCCGAGACTGGGGGATTGAAGGTGTCCAAATACGACAATGGAGCCTAAATTGTTCAGCAGAGTTGAGAACCATGAAAGCTGGAAAGAGCGGGAAAGTGGGAATCATTTCCTGGAGACGAATCTGATCGACGTGGGCCTATGAATAGAAGGGAGCCATCAGCGTCCAGGGAAAGCGCCAAGGTGCATAGAGAGCCTGCAGTAACTTTGAGCTAAAGGATAGCAGTACGCTTGATCCCTGTGCTACTTGCTTTATACCAGAACACTAAAGTAACGGTGCGCTGTAGTTCTTCCAGGTGCTCCTTCATAGTCCTTCCTTTCCGAGTCATACACGGCTATGCAGAACGAGGCATCTACAGCAATCACTGAGTCATTTCGACTGAGATGCTGATCAGTGTACGCATCTAGTGGCGCAGCGGTATTCGGTCCTTAAAGTGATAAAGTGGGCGCTGTCATGATGAAAGTACGCTTGATTCTGTCTAGTAAACGTGGTAGGTACAACGTGCAACTCCAGATGCAGAAATCTGTGCTGTGGAACGGTGTACATTGGTATCAAGTTAATAAGATGAGTGTCTACAGACTCACCGCAAACTTAGTTAATTAATCCTGTGGTCCTCAGGTAAGAACTTAACATATGACAAAAATCGGCATTGTCCGAATCGGAATATACAGCGCATCACATGATCGTGACTGGGGTAAAGTGGCGTCACGGAAGCAATTTGTTCACCTCTTCCCTTCTTACCGCGTAACGTGGAGCTGTGCAGGTCACTTCGACGTGTTATATCGTATTTGGATTGCATAGCTGTCGAGTTGTATGTCCTTTCTTTATAACTGCTGCTACCCTGTGTCAACTTTCACTCTAACCGCTACTGCACAGTTTGTCTTCTATTCCGCTAGTTCACGGGTCAGAACGGGTCAGAATTGCAGTATAGATGGAACAACAGCGGATCCCGTTTCCGAGGTCACGCGCAGCCTCGGAGGTCACACCTTGTAAGTCATCACAGCGCTTTTTTTTTGCATACATAGCTCACAGCACCCTTGGTATATTTATAAGCTCGCAGCGCTAACGGTAACTCCATGTCTGTAAATTCCATCGTACCTTCTGAAGACGATTCGTCAGAATCCATCGGCCATGAGGCTTTTCATTCTCCTTGTAAGCGTTCACTCTTAAATAATCAGACTCTCAATTAACGGCATCCTTTCATCAGTGGAACCGAGCGAAGAAGGTATAATTCGTAAACATATTGGCTTTACATACTTTTTGTTCAAGACTTTCAGGATTGAACATCAAACCTTCTGAGACTAATAACTCAACGATAGGTCAGTGAACGCTGAATTTATACGGGGCCTTTCTGATACATGTTACAGACTCTTTCGCCACATCTTCTTCCAAGCTGACATTATCTGATAAATTGTCTGCACTACCGCCTCCCAACACTCCCAGCCTGAACCGAAATCGGTCTCCAAACCCCGGCGCCAGTCGAGGTTTTAGACGCAGCTTTGAAGCGTCCGGTTCTTTGCCCTCCGTCAGAAGTGCAGAGGACATAGATCTCATACAGTCCACACGGAACAGCCCTCGACAGGGCAGCCATCTTCCTCCTCGGTCGAATGCCTCAGACGGTTCAGTGGGCATTGACGCGCCAAGGAATAGAGCCTCGTTAGATTCCGACCGCATCTCCTTACCTGCCCTACAGAGCGTTAGAAACGGTAAGATTTCTCTAATTCTTTCACATATTAAGCTTATCTTAGCTTCCCTTCAGCCTTTTCTCGCAGAAACAGGGGAAGTGATCCTACGCTCCCAGCTCAACGCACTGAACAGCTCAAGGGAGAAAATCTCGACTCGCGTTCTCGTTCTCCGTCTCGCGCAGCCTCTCCTCTTCGTCTATTGCAGCAATGGTCTCAAGGTCGTCATCGCTTTCATAACAACCCAAGGGAGGAACCGTTCATTCCTGTCGATCCTTTCCGTGCAAAGTCGCATTTCCGTTTACCATGCTTACCTTGCTGTTGCGTCAGCGAACCTAGCGATTCCTCAGAGACGGGAATGGATTATGATTGCGGCAAGGTGAAACACTATGCTGAAAGCATATCCACATTTATCACCGAGACGCTACCACGATTATTCTATCTATACGCGCTGCTGCGGCTGCCTGCTCTTTATTTCTCTAGGGTCTCACGGATTTTCGAGGATGCCGAAGTCAGCCGGCCCGATGTCCAGCGCATGATCGACGCGTGTTACCGTCCGGGATACACTGTACCTCTGTCCTCTAACGTGAACATTACTTCGAACGGGTATCGTTCGCCAGCTGCTGGAGTATCTGGTCAGGTCGGTGCTGCGGCGCTACTTTCTGACCTGGATATTCTTCCAGAAGATTGGGTGGCACCGTTCGTCTCACCAGCGCTTGTGCGATTCAAGCATTCGTGGGAGGCCTTTATTGATACCCTTATGAGAGAGTGGAAAACTCTTAATCTCGTTTCTGCTCTGTTGTTAACGTATGTACTCACCGCATGTTACTGCGTGATTATATTGCTGATGATATCAGAGCTATTTTAACCATGTTCCAGATACCAAACGCTGCCTCTGATCCTATCACTCGGACGGCGGCGTTGTTGTCACTGATCTGCGCTTTAATGAGCGTGTCTTATGGCTGCATGTACATCGTCAGGTGAGCATCTCATACATTTTGTCTCTGGTCAAGTCGCTCATTGCTTGTATAGATTTGGAACTATGAGGACTATGTATCGCGCCTCGCGATGGGCCGAGGTAAGAAAGGGAGTTTGTATTAGCGGAGTATACTCTGACTGACTGACTTGACTTGTAGGAGGCTCGTAAGACCAACACCGTAATTTGGTGGAACGTCTGGGTTATGCTCGCCATGCCGGCTGTATGGTTGTCCTGGTCCGTGTCAGAGTTGGCTGTGCCAATTCACTCAGCACTAATCACCATATTGATACAGGTCCATGGTCTACTTTGTCGTTTCCATCCTGTCTTTCGTGTGGCGCACAGGATCCGCACTCGACCCAGCTGAGTACCAGGGACTGAGTCCCACTGGAGTGCTGGGTCCGCGAATCGCGATTACATGTGTTTTCCTGATTGGGATGATATACCTCGTTCTCATAGTGAACACCCTCAGGAGCTATGGCACGCATGGGGTGTTGAGATCTGGGGCACAGGTTGAAGTGCCAGAGGAGGAGCGACGAGGGAGGGAGCGGGAGCGGGGTGCGAGCCGTCGGGAGAGTAGGAGACGGAGTGAGCGGTATGACCATGTACCAGAAGCTGCAGCGAGAGGGACTCCGGATCTTCGTAAGGATAAGGTAGTCGAGGAGGTGATGGAAACTGAGGTGAAGGAGAACGGTCGGTTGAGAACTCTCTTAGGGTTTGGGGTGAACCGGGGTTCGGATTTGGAGAGGGGGATGTGGGAGGAGAACGACTCGCTTAGACGTGCTCGTTCATCGGGCTGACTTATGATTTCGTATGATTACTTATGGACTAACTTGCTATGGACTGCTGTATTCCTTTTTTATTGCAGAAGATTGTATCGCTGTATAGACATGAATGTCACCTAAGTAACTGATAAATCGGCAGCCCTTCTGTTAAAGTTATTACGTTTATCGTATGGGATGGCATCCAGTGATGATGCGTCCATGGCATTCGCGGAAAACTAGATCACGGCAGGGATTGAACGTGAATCACTGAGACTTAGTAACAGGCAGCAAGATATACTGCCAGTACTTTGAACATTTCAGTCCCACATTTCAGTTGTAATTATTAACCCTCCTCATGCTACCAAAGGTATATTATCATCTATTGAAGATACCATAGGTGTACAACTATTTCCAGTTTGGTGGCAACTGCAAGGGAGCAGCCCGGGGAACCGGTCTAACCGCCGCATGCGTTGATGGGCCGAACTGTTTTTACCCACGGTTGAATCAACTCACTCTTCTCCCGTCATTATGATCAAGGAATTCATAGACAGTGAGTTGGCATAATAATTACCATCGACATTCTCTGACTGTAATTTCAAGGTATCCCACGCAATGGATCAGCGTCATTCGTTCCGAGTCACCGCCACCTTCCTCAGACTGGACTCGAACGATTGGTTCAATACATACCTTTGTCCGGTTTGACGAGGCTTGCAAATGGGCCTGCGTCAGATTCCAAGTGCCTTGTCTCTCGCTGACCTCCGAGATCGCTCACAAAGTTCAGTCCGAAGGGTGGCAAACATTGCATGCGGATGATAATGAAGTTCTTACACCTTTCTACGGCTTGTTGCCAAACGAGTTCCCAAAGCGTCCTTACGATTTTGCTCCCCCAGAGATGATCCAAAACACCCTTCTCATCTGCGACCTTGCTGATCTCCGTTGTTACGATCTCGTACCGCCACACGAATGAGTTTACAAAATTGGAGAAAATGACTTTCTCTTCAAAGTGCGATGAGACAGACCCCCTGCTGACGTTCCTAAAATCGAGGAAGAGTACCATATCTCTCATCGTCTTCGAGATTCGCCCTACGTTCTGCCTCTTCATGGCTTGGTTCGCGCCACGCGCTGGTATGTTGTGCCAGAAGATCCTATTGCACAACATGTGGTTGTCCTGGATGGTTTCTTGGTGCCATATGTAGGGTCCTATTCGAAACTGTTTCATGAGGGCGAGTGGACTGTCTATGAGAAGGAGATACTAGCTGTGGCCCTCATAGACGCTGTACGACATCGAATCCCGGGGCGTTTCTCCGAGCAATGTCACCGCCCGTACTGTGCGGCTGACTTTGGATGCTCTCAAAATTGTTGGCGTGGGTCTACGGGAAATCTCTCGTTTTTTCCTGTATCCGATGTCCTGGTATCACACGAAAGACCCAAAGATTGCAACCTTAGGAGCCCTGTCAGCGATAATATGCCGCCTCTTTATGGAAGTACGGCCCCATTTGTCTTTCGTGGATCATGAAAATCTACCCATTGTCCTCTAAGATGTTGCCAGACGTGCCATGGACACACAGACACACTCTATTGCGCAGCTCAGAGAGGAAACGTGGGAAGAGTTGGGAGGAATTCGGTCGCGGGGTATCACTATTCCAGATCTGGTGCGAAAGCGGCATCTGCGTTTTCGAACGCGAAGCTGTTTCGAAGAATGAGTGGTGGTTTGGTTTCGAATCTCAGGAGTAGTTTTGACGTCTTGACGTTACGTGAAAGGCTGAGGTGAGATCTGTTGCCACGTTAAGTCCTTTCAGAAGTTAACCAATGATAGGACAGTCCGATGCATTACATAGTCTACGAAAATGACGCGTATCACTCCAGGGCAATTCAGGGAGAGGCATGTTCAGCGCAAGCCACTGTCCTCGCTGAGGGTCAAAGTAATGAATCATCTGATGCCCAGAGGTCAATATGTCCCAGGTAATCCAGATTCTTCGCTCCGAATCGTACTGTGCCTATATTTATTTGACCTGAACTATGGCCTTCGCTTGAGCACTGACCGCAAGTCCGTGGGACTATCCCGGCAGCCAAAGAACATGCGAGGATCCCAATGCAATGGTTAGGGACAGGAGGGTCTGGAAAAGGCGCGATTGCTTCTCCTCTTGAGGTGTGATTAAGGAAGCAGTTTTTTATTTGCTCCCGACTGTAGCCTAGCTCTTGAGCATGGCAGCAGATTCCCCATCCAAGAACGAGGTGGCCACCAGCCCAACATTCTGTTATATAACATGCACATTTCGTCAGAAAATGTCATTTGTGTCAATCGATATTAGACCTCCAGGAACGTTCTGCAGAGAGATTAATGATGGTGACCATATCGTAGAAGGGAACAGACCCACCAACCTTAGTTAATAGAGCGAATGATTGTCAAGTGCGCTACTGCTAGAGAAATTTCCCCACAGATGGAAGGAGCATCAACGGTCACGCATCTATAGAGGACAAGCCGTTTCTTACAGCTTTTGATGAAACAATTGCTGGGTGGCAAGGACGAGAAAATGGCATCCAAGTCGATACCACGGAGGAATTCTTCTGGAAAACATGATGTCTTTGCATAGTATCTTATTTCTACCCGTCGGTGTATGTCGCTATCTCATATACGAAGCAAGAAGCCTGCCTGGCAGCGATCATCCAAAAAAGGACTGTGCAGCTGGCTTACTTGAAGTTGACTTCATTTCCCACCAGTGTTGCACAGTCGCCTAACTTTGAGGCAAAGTCAAGGTTGCCGGTTGTGAAACTTGGATGCATGACCTTGATTCTATGACGTCATCATCATGTTTATCACGAAAAGTTTCGACTTATTTGATTGCCTCCGGTCCCTGAGTAGTACGCAAGATCACAGTGGCGTGGGTAAAGCTGTTTGCTGTCAGTGACAGTGATGATTCATGACTTCGGCAACTGTCACACGCCCGCACATCACTGTAAATTCCCACATGACTGGCATCTTGGCCAACCGCAGATCAAACTTAAATAGTTAGCAACACTGGGTGTCCATTACTATACTCCACATCATATGCCAAAAAATCAGGAAATCAGATCAATGAATGGAGGGACTGCCAGACAGGAGCAAGAGAGGAGGAAGGAGCCTGAGATTGAGAATCTGTGTCATGACTGCCATGTCTTCATCAAATGTTGAATCTAAATATAAAAAAACAAGTTTGATGCCCTCCAACATGTGTTTGGAAATTAATTAATTATGGCATAAGCAGCATAGATGGTTTACTCCTCTCAGTTACTTAGAAACATCGAAAACTCATGGGCTTCCCATGAAAGCTCAGAGTTACAGAAATATGATGTGGCTTGAGACTTCTAACCGTTTTTGATGCTGGACTGATACTACTGAAATAGCAAATCATCGGTGGTTGTTAGGCATAGACTCACTAGCCAGTCAGACAACAGTGTTGTGCAGATTGCAGACAGTTCCAGTATCTGACTTTATCCATGCTACTGCAATCTTTAGAAAGCTAACAAGATGGAACAAGAGAAGTCAAGGTCATTTGCATGACAACCATTGCACCCAAGTTTCATGACCAGCAATCTTGACATCATCTCAAGGTCAGGTGACCATACAATGCTGGTTCACAAGCTAACATCTTGTGCTGATTTCTAAAATAGTGTTTCAGTGTTTTTTTCTCTCAGGTCAAACCACTGGCAATTTCAAGTACAAAGGTAGTGATAATTAATGCTGGTAAATACTCATGCTGAAGTTTGAGCCATTTGCTTTGACCACCAATATTCAAAATGGCAGTTAACCTGGTGTCCTAAAAGCCATCTTGAATATGCTAATACCAATAACCAAAAAGTCGCATATTACATAAATAATATTTCAGGCCAGATGCTTTAGCTTTATTATATTCTCACAATCTGATCATTGTTGTTAAGGCCTTAGTTTCTTACATTCGAGAAAAATAGTTCACAGGGTAAGCCAATCACTCACAGAGGCCTTCAAGCTTCAAGCTGTATTCTCTTTTCAGGATATCAAATGGGAAAATGCTGTCATGAATTATTGCTGTGGGTTTGACCCTCAATATTCTGATTCTCTCAAGTATACCATGTTCAAGGCCCAGGGACTCATCAAATATGCCACCATTGACTTTGACATTGCAATCATATTCCCTTCTGATGCAACCTCTTCTCACTGTCATTTACCTTATACAGATTCCTGAGTGGGAAAGAAATATCACTACATCTATGATGCTCTCCAAGGTGAACATGACTATGATCCATTTGCATTTAATGTCACTCTTCTTGGATATCTTTTTTGCCACCACTTCCAGGTACATGGTCATGATCTAAGCACAGCAAAAATTTTTAAACAAGCACTTGAAGTATTTGACTCTCTATAAGCCCATGCTCACTTCTCTGTTAGATAAGATGGTCACCCAAATGATCTCACAGCACTTTACTGCATCTGAGGCACTGCAGTTCTTTGAGGAGCTCCTGTCTGGAGCACAGCTAGATATCACAGTTTTGTCCAATTGCTTCACTGACTACTTTGAAAACTACAATGGATGAGAAGATCTTCCTGCAGATTTCATTCAGAAATAGTCAGATTATCGAGAGCTGCCTGTCTCTCACATGATCATTTCACTCAGGAAAATATGCTACTGGGGTGTTGGGTATCATCAGGCACTTGTAATCACTTGGAGGATATTGAGCTGGGGTCTGCATCTGTGCTCCATGCCTTTACATATAGCAGGAATGCTGTACAATACCTGCAATGGTTATCATGGCATTTCTGGCTTATACTTATTGTTTTAAATTTATACCATTTATATCTTTCCAAGTTGGATTGCATGGCTAAAGGATGAACATCCTTCTCTTCACTGCTGATACTTTTGTACTATTGTGTAGGTGCCAGTAATTCTTCAGATAATTCTCTGTTGAGCACATTCTTGTCACTGAAAATTCAGGTCTTATGGTTTGTCAGCTGTTCTTGTCTTGATAGATATCAGTAGAATCTGGCATGAAGAACAGATGACAGAAATGTTTCTCACCTCAGCTGATACAGCAAAATAGAAGAATGACTGAGGTGCCAAACAGGTATGCAAAGGCTTAAATACTTGATTGGAAGACTGATGAGATGTGTACAAAAAAGGAATGATAAGATTATGGAAGGAATAGTAATCATGGGTAAGTAAGAAAGAAATAATAAGTACAGATTGCCTCCAACACTCCCTCTGATCCATAGTTATATTATTGAAACAATGTTGAGCCCATCCAGGTAATGGATACAGTTCCATAAAAATATTGGTAGGGTTCATGTTGCCTCAAATAAACTCAACCTTAAGATTGTCACTCTTAATGAGGTCCCATATGTAGTGCTGGCAGATGGCATATATACTTCACCTTTCAGTGGGATTTTGTGGTTTTAGTCAAGGAACCCCCCCCCAGATTATCACCATACAGCAGACCGGGGCAAGGCACCGAGAGTTCAATCTCATCAAGGCAGCTCAGCATCCACATCATCTGCTGAGCATCCCTCATCAAAGAGATGTACTCCACCTCCACTGTTCCATTGTATAGGGTTGAAAATGGCTTTATTTATCGAAATAAATGATACTTAGGCTACATTGCAAGTAAAAACTAGTAAGTATCAGTGGCGCAAGCCTACATTGTATGAAAACCGTCTCCAGGTACTCTGAACAAGGCATTATGGGGCTCGGATAGAAGTCGGAGCTTCTACCTGGTAACTCGACATTCCAAATGGAACGAGCTGCCGGGTGGCCTAGCCGGCACCACGGCAAAAGCCGTGACCAATGGAAATAAGCGCGATCGATCGACATGTCAAGATACCAGGCGTTCATACGTGTTTACGATCACGGGCGCACCAGTGTGCTGGAGCTCGAAGCGCCAGTCTACTGTGGCACTGTCTACAGTAGAGGCGGAGTACATCTCTTTGACGAGGGACGCTCAGCAGATGATGTGGATGCTGAGCTGCCTTGATGAGATTGAACTCTCGGCGCCTTGCCCCGGTCTGCTGTATGGTGATAATCTGGGGGGGGGTTCCTTGACTAAAACCACAAAATCCCACTGAAAGGTGAAGTATATATGCCATCTGCCAGC